CCTTCCCCCGCGTCCCGATATTTCCTGAAAATACAGGATGTACTCTTTAAAATATCTGAAATACAGAAGCATTAACTCATCATTTACTTAGCACACTGAAATTTCTTCCTTTCTCTACTACCATAAAGCTAAATTTTTTAGTCTTTACTCAGTTCTTGTTCAGGCTAAAATCCTATTGCTTTCAATGGGAGATGGGCCTTTAGTATTTGGCATATACTGATCAGATGTCTGAGTACCACAAAGGTTTCCTGAAGTATGTTATACTCAGGGCAGGTCTACACTACCCGCCTGAATCGGCAGGTAGAAATTTCTCTCTCGGGGATCGAATTATCGCGTCTCGTTGGGACGCGACAATCGATCCCCAAATCGACGCTTCTACTCCACCAGCGGAGATAGGAGTAAGCGCCGTCGACGGGGGAGCCACGGAGGTCGATTTGCCGCCGTCCTCACAGCGGGGTAAGTCGGCTCCAATACATCGAATTCAGCTACGCTATTTGCATAGCTGAATTTGCGTACCTTAAATCGACTCCCTCCCCCTCCCCCATAGTGAGGACGTAGCCTCAGTGTTCTCTATTACTGAGGCAGCATGGAGTGAAATGGAGCTTTTGTTTTAAGTCACAATGTCCTCGTTTTTGTAGGGTTAGGTGTTAGATTTATATTAGTACTTCAACCTAAGACAAATTATTAGTAGTTTAGTTGCCTTTTATATTTATAAAATATGGATCCAAACCCACAGGGTACTGTGCACACTCCACTGCTACTGAATAAATGAAATCACATTAGTTGTGCAATCCCAACACTAGGAAAAAAGCTGCTTCTATAAATATCAGGTGCGGGCTCCTTATTAGAGGCAAGATAGTCTTTGCATACCATGTTTTGTGTCAGATGAAGTCTGGTCTTTACCTTCTGTTGTAAAATGGCCATCAACCCGCCTTTACATGCCAATTTTGCCTACCCATCTTCACCAACCTCCTCTGATAAGAGCAAGTAGTCACACAAATTCAAAAGTAATGAACCAGCATCCTTTACTTTAATGTATTCAATTCCAGTCATGTGAAACAGACACAATCTCTCTGCAGTATTTTATCCACCAGTTAAACATAATTCCACATTTTATGTTTATCTAATTGCTTTTGCTCCTGTTTCCTGCAGAAGTGAAATAGTCCCATCATTGCAGAGCACACAGAAAAATCCATTTTAATTGCTTCTTTCAAATGCTCCTATCTCCAACTATAACTTCAGATAGATATACTATCAGCCTGGGGAAACCATATTGTTTATAACCCTGGACAGGGAGAAGTGCTATTTGGGCAAGTAAAAGTGTCAGGCTTTCTGCCAACAAGACAGGCATGACAGGAGAGACTGGAGATAGGCTGGGTAACATCAGAAGTAGCAACACTGATGCGAGAGCGAAGGGTGGCCCAAGGGACCAAGTGGAAGAAAAGCAAAGAGCTACCTAGGATGGAAAGGTTGGCACCACCTCCTGACAAATCCATGACAAAAATCTGCATTGGGGAATGAAGGCACTGATCAGCAACACCATACTATATTTTCAGCACAATAACTTTCTGCAAATAAACCATTCTGGATTCTAAAGAGTAATGCATGCCCACCCGCCATCATGCAACTCTGAATATGCACTACTCTGCTTTAGTGTGCAACTATAAGAACGATCTGAGTCATGTAATGATTTGTGCCATCCATCACAGGTTAGAGTCTGGCCCTTTGTTTTATAGTTACACCTGAGGCCCAAAGTCAAATGTAACAATTTTGGTAATAAATAGTGCTGAGGTGTTTTGTAGTAAAATATGTATCTGTAGCTAGTCTTGTCACACAAAAATAGCATGTTTAGTCATTATATAATGTGAGTGGGTCTCTCTAATTTCAAAAACAAGAACATTCTACTTTGCTTATTTGAGAGAATTTTAATAAATAATATTTTATTTGTATATAGTGCCTTTCAACCTGAGGAATTTCAAAACTCTTCAAACACTTTACAACTCACTCTTTTTCTCTTGGCCTAAAATAATCTATATTTAAATATAAAAGAAAATGCTTCTGCATCATTAACTAGCATCTTCTATTACACATTGTGTACTTAATCTACCATTGAAATGTAGCCACCTCTGAGGCAAAATACAGTTGCTGTGTCATAACATACATCATGCAACAGTTTAAGAGTAAAACTATAGGCATAGTAAAATAATTACATAGAACGTGGACATAAAAACAGGCGAATGAGTGTTGCCTACAAAACAATATATAAATACAGTTCACACTGTGTGGATATATTTATCTAGAAATTTATATCAGCACACATTGTCAGACAGCTGGGTACTTCCCATCAATAAAACCAATCAATATATTACAATATGTTGTATATAGCTAGAAACAGTAAATACAAATTGAATAGATGTACATAAGCACTGAATTTAGTTACCAGATGCCAGGAACATAGTCAATTACAGAGATGGAATAGTATCAAATATTCCATCAAGAACTTGCCTTGATGATGAGTTAGTGGTTGTGCTCCTTTCTAAACTGTTGCAATTACACCAGCTGTTCCTATTGCTGCCTTTGTTACGGTATTATATCAGTATTGATTACTCCTACAAAATTCCCACTAATGATGATAATTTTTCCTGAGAAAAGACTAGTTGTTATACAAAGAATATGTCCATTAAAATACACTCCTTCCTAATCCTTAATTTTAGTCTGTGCCCCACTGGGCTTTTGGTGCTCTGATACTCAAATATCTTGGAGATAATGAGCTTTGAACTCCCCTGAATTGACCATTAACTTTTTAAAAAGAAATCCTATTGGGATGTGGCTTTAATACATAGGTTACATTACCTGAGTAAGCACCATCTGTAAATATCTTTGTTCAGTAAATGGGGAAACAATGGCATATTTAGCCATTTGACAGAGGTGTTATTTAGATTATTGTCCTTCAGATAAGCTGCATCAGCACAAAACGGGCAACTGTAATTTCAGGTATGAGATGCTTTTGATTTGGATATATTGAACTACTTAGACTTGCTGCATTCCTCCATATTATTTCATTAATCACATAACAAGCTTTCCATTTCTCCACTAAACACGCTAACTCTAATTATTGCTAGACTGCACAGATGTTTCCTCATTTAGATGCTCAGTTCATAGTCATTTGTTACTCTCATTGTCACACACATTTCAATTTATATTACATCACTCTAATGTCCTTTCTGTTTGTGAGCCGTTTGGGTTAATATGTCCATTTGAATAACAAGAATATATATAAAAATAGATTAGAAATGTGTACTTTCAGCCAATTGGCTTGTCTGAAAATATAAGGAATGTTTTTTTTAACAGCAGAATCATCCCACTAAATTCTGCTAAATGGGCAAAATTCTCATGTCAGATACAATTATTCCAGATTTAAACTGGTGAGGCCATAATTTGGCCTATAAATGTAATACAGTATATGTATTAAATAGTATAATTCTCATTATAATGAATAATAGTGTATCTTTCTATCTATTTTGCATCACATGAAGTGTAAAGGAACAAGTAAACTTTTAAACTAATGTTTAGTAATGACAATGAAAAATGCTGAACAATGCAACAGAAACTTCTTGGGCACTCCTAGGAGAGAAAGGAGTAGCGTTTAGAACATGTATTTCATTTTGGTATGAGGGAATGAAGTTTGTTGTAGCACTAGATTATTGTATCATATTCAGATGAAATAAATACTGCTAAATGATTGATTACAAGATAAAATACCCATGCATATTTGATTTGAAAAAAACAGTTCCTGGGGTTTGTTTGTTACAAAGTTGAAGCAAATTTAGAGATATGGTGAAAAAGCAAGAAAATGAGATTCATGTACAAAAATGGGCAGTCATAGGGGGTTAGAATTAGAATGCCTTTTACTACTGTTCTTAAAATGTTTTGTTATGCAGCAGAGAGTATGGGTTATTCAGAGATTAAAATAAGCATGTAAAATCCTGCTGAAAATACAAAAACACAAAGAAGCTGACCAAACTAAGTCAACAAAAAGAAATGTAAGTGTATGAAATGTTTTCAAGTAATTTACAAATATTAATTTTTGCTTATCTCGGAACATTATTCTTCCAGTTAAAAATGGCAGAAAAGTGGGCAGCAGCATACACTATACATACACTCTACTATTCAACTTTTCCTCATGTCAGAAAAATTAATTTGATTGAAAAAACAATTGCGTTGTAGATACTTAATTTCTCTAGGCAACTCGGAGGTGAGCAGTAGTGGTGCAGTCTCATACATAGCCCTGCAAAGCCGAACATTCCCTCGCCTTCAGCCGCGAGAACTGCCTGCTTCAACATCCCGCGTTGGAGCGGTTGGCATTTTGTTTTCTATGGCCCAACCACGGCTGCACAGGGAATGGGATGTTTCAGAAGACAAGTCAACTGCACGAGCCGGATTCGGCCGGTGATGGATGTCCATGCGTTTAAAGAAGAACAGGAGGACTTGTGGCACCTTAGAGACTAACAAATTTATTAGAGCATAAGCTTTCGTTATCGTCTCCCGGGGCACAGGCACTGTCTCGCTGCAGCCACGCTAGCCACGAGCTTCAGGGCGTGTTAGAGCTGCCACATTTGCTAGACAAAAGAAGTTTAAGGGCTACTCTTTTGAGCGGGCGAGGCGGAACAACAGCTGTCTCCCATGTAGCCGCCCGGCCAGGCGTTGGCTCCTGCTGCATGCAGAGTCCAGAAGCTACGCTGGGGAACGCTGGCTCCTCTGCGGAACCCTTCGGGGGGTTTCCTTTGCCCCAGGCAGTCCCGCAACACACAAACCCGCGCGGCTGGTTTACGCGACTGGGCGGTCAGGGTGATTAAAACTCACAGCATTGGCTCGTTAGTGGTGTGACTCGACCCCCCCCCTCCCCCAATGCTCCGGTCCCTGGAGTTTTAAGCACGTGAGCAGACGCTGCCTGTTCTCCAAAGACCCCCGCAGCCTTTCAGGAGGGAGCCAGCGCGCCAACCTCTCCAGCCAGCTCCCTTGCCAGCCCGGAGAGCCCCCCGTTTCCTCCCGCGCACCCGGCGAGGAGCCTCCCTCCCCGCGCCACCTCCCAGCGGGGGGGCTCCGCGCCTAGCCACCACCAGCGCCGCACACAGGACGGTCCGGCAGCCCCGCCGCGGCGCTGGCCCGAGGAGGGATGTGGCGAGGGCAAGAGGCGGTGGAAGGTCGGCAGCCGCCGGCGTAGAGCGGCGAGAAGAGCAGGCAGCCACCGGCAGGACTGGCCGGGCGAAGAGGGGAACCACAGACGCCCTGGGGACCGGCTGGGCTCCCCCCTACCCCGGCTCTGCGCCTGCCCCTGCGCCATGTGACTGACCCGCTCCGTGCAGCCCAGGGCAGAACGTCGGACTCGGTCCCCAGGGCATTGACTCGCCCGCCCGGGCTGACCAGCCCCCGTGGCCAGGCAGGGGGTGACCTGTGATCGCTGGGGCTGCCCCCTTCCGCCCGGCTCCGATGCGCTGAGAGCCGCCCGCCCGCAGCCCTGCTTCCATGGGGCGGGGAGCACAGGCGGCGGCCGCTGATGCTGTGAGGGCGGCGCCCTGCTTGGTGGGGGCACCATGAAGTCCCTGCTCCTCAGCCGCTTCCTGCTGCTGCTGCCCTGGGGGCTCATCGTCATCCTCCTGCTGGACACAGACAGCAGCCGGGGGCCGCTCGTGACCCCCGCCCGGCCCCCGCAGCAGGCGGCTCCCAGGCGGCCGGCGCTGCCCCCCATCTATGCCATCACCCCCACCTACAGCCGCCCGGTGCAGAAAGCCGAGCTCACCCGCCTGGCCAACACCTTCCGCCAGGTGGCGCGGCTGCACTGGGTCCTGGTGGAGGACGCGGCCCGGCGCAGCGAGCTGGTGAGTCGCTTCGTGGCACGGGCCGGCCTGCCCTGCACCCACCTGCACGTCCCCACCCCGCGCAGGTACAAGCGGCCCGGCCTGCCCCGCGCCACCGAGCAGCGCAACGCCGGCCTGGCCTGGCTCCGGCAGCGACACCAGCACCTGCCGCCGCCGCAGCCCGGGGTGCTCTTCTTCGCCGACGACGACAACACCTACAGCCTGGAGCTCTTCGAGGAGGTAGCGCTGGGGAAGGGGGGCGGGTGTCGGGTCAGGGAACCCACTGACCTGCCATAGCCACGTACCCTGCGTGCACCTCCACGCACTCCAGAGCCTGGCACACCCTGCCCACCTGCATGCACCTGCACCCAGTCCAGAGCCTGGCTCCACCCAGTCCAGAGCCAAGCCCTGGTACTCCGACCCCACCATGGACCTCCATCTAGTCCAGAGCTGTGCATCACCGGCCCCTTGCATGCACCTCCACCTAATCTAGAGTCAGCCCCCCCCCCCCCCACCCTGCATCTCTAGCCAATCCAGAGCCCTGCATCCTGCCTGCACCTCCTCCAGGTGACAGCCAGGCCCAGAGACTCCGCAGCACCACAGACCTTGCATATTCTTCTAACAGCCAATTAACACCCTGACCCTGCATGCACTCCCCCCCCCACACACAGACACAGTTTTATGCACTGTGCGTGCACTTTCACCAGATCGAGACTTTCAATACACCCAGACTCATACAGTCTACCCAGTTTTAGGCAGTGTGCATGGCCCCTCACCCCAAACTCATGCATAGACCTTTCCAAAATCAGTACTCCAGTATTCTGCACACGTCTTCCCCCAGACCCAACACGTGACATATTCCCTTCTCCCAAATTCATGCACTCCGCAAGCATTCAGAGTACCATTACCTTAATCTTAATTCTGCCTTTCAGCAACAGTTGCCTTCTTTTTCCTTCCCACATCCAGAAGCAGTCACTTGCTATTTTCTTTTTCTTGCTGAGATATGCAGAGTTGGGGATTATATAATGTCTTCACTGTGGCTCTGTTAAAACTGGGATAAAAGAGACACCACTGTCTTTGATTTCTTCAGTTCTGGTTGTATCTCTTTCTTTTGCCCTGGAGGGCAAACTCACATCATGAATCATGGTCCTTTATAATTTAACTTGCCATGAATTACTTTGCTTGGAGTTGCCCACTCTTTTTTGAAGCCTGTCATTGTTAAAAGCAGAAAATCTTTTACATAATGGCTAAACATCTTTTCAGGAGTCTCATTTGTAAGGGGATGTGTTTTGTCTTTATTCCAGCCACTCCGTGAAGTGCTTGCTCCCTTTCAGTAGGAGTTGGCAAGTGCACAGGGATGAGGTTATCCAGCTTTCTGATTTCCCACTGGCAGGAAGGAGGATGTTTAATAAGTGGACATAAAACAACAGAAGAAAGATCATGTATCTTTGACAGATAAAAGAATAACCTTGGCAGAAAAATGGGGGAGGGAAAGAGAAAAAGTAGATTGGCAGGCAATGTGCAGGAGTTTTAAAGAGATTGAAATCAGCATACTTCAGTGCTTAAAGGTATGAACCTATCAATGTATGATAGCATCCTGTATTTAGCTAGTAGCTCACATCCATGGGTGATTTACAATCAGTAGATGCAAACACAAAATATACAAAGATGCCCAGCAGATAAAGCGTGTAGAGGGAGTTGTTTTAGAAATGTTGATCAACACAATTGACTAGTGTTTAGATTTAAAATATATTTGCTTCCCTCTTCAATATGTTGACAGGTGCAAGTTCCTCATTTAGCAGAGCTACTCTAGTTCCTGTTCCAGCATGAGATGCAGCACTGAAGCTCCTAATTTGAGGACCTTACACTGGAAATGTCATATTCTGTTTTTCTGGGTTATTTTCCTAAACCTCACTAGACCCCCATGGCTGTACTTAGCTCATCAATGCAAAGGAATTCTATGCCTTCATCTTGTTTTAATGCTGTCAACTGGGTTCTCTTGGCATTCATTGCTAGTGTGGTTCATTCCACTGAAGGCTATAACCCAGTCCAGAAAATATGCCCCTCTTCCAGCAGTAGCACAGGGGCAAATGTTGTCTGGACACAAATCTTTTCTATAAAGTACACAGGGAAGAGGAAACACTAAATGAAGAAGTGACAGGGCACACCAGTTAAGTAACTGTTAAGAGGAGATGGTCCTGAGTCAGCTTGAATGTTTTTTATTTCCTAGTCCTTTGTTTCTAATTTCTGAGGATGATGAAATTAAAAAGGTACAAATTAGCTCCCCAAAGTGCTGGCTGTGAATGCAGGGATGCAAAGGATGAATGAATCCGTAGGGTTAACCTTGAAGATTACAGGCACAACAGGCAATCCATGTTCAATTATTTCTCTTTGCTAACAGGAATGCCAGCCTCTTCACACATGCAGCTAAGCAATTCTAAGCCTCCTTTCAACACGGTTCAGTGCTAAGAAATAAATGTTTGCTTTGAGCAGTCCCATGTTCACAGGGAAACACATTTGTGAGTGAAGCTCTTGCTGTGAGATGCAGTAGCAGAAACAAACAAAACAGATCTACTTCAGGGAGAGGGAGAGATTTCAGTCTTCAAATATCTACTGAACAACCCCATTTCTGTTTTCCCTGCAGCACGGATGGGCTGGAGGGGGGGAGGCGAGGTGCTGCTGGAACACAGATAATTCCCCCCCCCCCATATTGATCTGATGCTCTGTTCAAGCAACTAAAATCCTTTTGCAAATGAGCTTTTGCAAATGCCACAAGCAGAGTGTGCCTTTCTGGTGAGAAGGTAGACCTCATAGCCTTGTTTTCAATCAGGGCATTGGTCAGATTTCTATTTCTCATTGGAAAACCTTCACTATTTTCATGAGTTCTGACTTGACAATTTTAAAATAAATCTCCATCTCTCCTTTGGGAATTGATTGATTAAGAGTAAATTGTGATCCTCCTTTCCAAGCCAGCCTCAGAACACATCACAGGTGGCAGAAATCCTGTAGTAATTCTCTTCATGAAAGTGGCTTAATGAGATGTGAGAGGGAATTTGTTAATGCTTAATGCTGTTTCCCAGCCTTCCAGTTGCAATTCTTCTGAATGGTGGTTGCTGAATCCCTAATCCCAAAGGAAACCTGATTTAAGACCCCTATTGTAGATGAGGAAGGGATTGGTATAGACATGGGACTGGAAGCCAGAAACTCCTGTATTCTAATCCTGCCTTGCGCACGGACTGTCTGTGTGATTTTTTTTTTTGAACAAGGCACAATTACAGTTAGAAAGTGACTATGTAAAATTGCTATCTTATTAAATAGATCTGTGTGTCTGTTCTGAGTCATAGCTCCTGATTTTAGTGATAAAAGTAGGGCTGTTTTGGTAATATTTTTCAGTCCTGTTAGCACCAGAAAGTTCAAACTCCTAAGGGCTTCCAAAACCCCATAGGAATGTTGCATCAGTGCACTTTACACTGGTAAAGGTTTGCATTGGCTTAGCTCCATTGCTGCAAATTTCTCTAATATGCTTAAAAGAGAATCTGAGCCTCTTTAATGAAGCACCCCCCTGCAGCAGCTTTATTACAAGTGAAGGTGTACAAGCCAGAAGGAATGCACTTTGTGAAATGCCAGGTTGTTTTTGTCAAGGTGTCAGTTTGAAAAATCTAGTTTCCATTTATGGTATTTTATAATGTGCTCATGATCACCATATTAGAAACGCATCAGGTTTATTTGATACGGAGAGATGTTAAATATTAGAGTTAGTCAGAAAACAGCAACGGTTTTCCTTTACAATTAAAAATAAAATGCAGGTTGTTGTTTTTTTAATTATTAAACCTGGAAACAAATATTGACCAGCTGTAGTAAACTTGGAACCCCACCAGGCTCTTTGTACTGTGGCCTACACACTTGCCTGCCTCCCCTGGGTGGTGTGGAGCTTAATTTGTTAATAGCCAAAAATGTGCTCTCCTATTTCAATTAAATGAAGTTGCTCCAAGTATGTTTTGTCCTTAGCTACCCCTAGGGTTACCATTCGTCCGGATTTCCCCGGACATGTCCTCCTTTTTCTGCTAAAAATAGCGTCCGGGGGGAATTTGTAAAGCACTCACAATGTCCGGGATTTCCCCCTCCCCCAGCAGAGCAGAGCGAGCGGCTGGGAGGGCTGCAGGAAAGTCCCGGGCTGGACTCCGGAGCAGCTTCCTCCTCCCACCCTCCCCTCCCTGCATTCTGAGCCTGCAGCTCCTCCTCCTGCAGCCCGGTCCGGCAGCACTGTGCAGGGCCAGGGACCGGGTTTTGTTGTGCAGGGCCAGGGACCGGGTTTTGTTGTGCTGGGGAGCTCAGCCACGTGTCCGGCTGGCACAGAGCCCAACACCCTGTTCTGAGCAGCAGGGTAAGGGGGCCAGGGAGGTTCTGGAGGGGGCAGTCAAGAAACGGG